TGGCTAGCTCAGTCAGAAGAGCATGCATCTCTTGATCTTGGGATTGTGAATTTGAACCCTGTGATGAGTATAGAGATTACTTAAATAAATAAACTTAAAAAAGAAGCAGCTGATTGGCACAACTAGAATGGCTAACTTCAGAAAGGTATAATGATTCAAAATTTAATTTTGGGGGATATTATGTAGGTACTGTAATGTAAAATAGAATTCACCTATAGCTCTGTGATCATACTTGTTTCGATTTCAAACTGTCATTTTGCAGGGTCTGTGAGTGAAAAAATTTAGAAAACATGGTTTACTACTTTAGCATCTCAAAAGTTTTCTGGAAAACCCTCTTGCTTTTAGTTCACAGAATGTTTAACAATTTAACAAATGGTAAATGAGATAAAGTTGCCATAAAATTTGGAGGAAAAAACCCATATCACTGGAGGTTAATCTTACCTGTACTAGTGACTACTTTTATCTAAAATAGCCACACCAATGATTTAGAACTGGGCAGGCATGACTTTATCATTCTTTACATTTAAATGTCTAAGAAGCTACAGCTACAATATGTGTGTTTATCCAACACTGTACACAGAATGATGTGTTAAGACAACAGGAAGAAACCATTCTGTTCTCCCAGGAAATGGTGAAAGTTAGAAGCAGCAGTGCATCTCAAGAAAGTGAGAGGCCTAACCAATCAGACTTTGATAGCTTTGGGAAATGGCCTTGAGAAAGGAAAAAACACTCAAAACGTAGACTTAGGTCATCAGTTCTGCCTACTTGGGGCATTTAACTCCCATTTTGAGCTTCAGTTTCTTCATTGTGATAAAATGGGATAATGAATGGTATCTTCTTACAGAATGATTCTGAAAATAATGATTTTGTGGATTTTTAATAATCAGGATTTAAAGATCAATGATAACTCTTAAAGAGTATGTTTTGAAACTACTTGACTTATAACATTTTACTAGTGATGTAATTCCAACAATAATTACTGTTTAAATAACCAGCAGTCATGCTGTGTTTCAGGAAAATACTTTCTAAGCAACTGGTTTCTACTTGACCTATTTTAACGTAGGTGAGATTGAATTTATTTGGCCCAATAGTAAACAATTCTTGTTTCCTTACTCATTATCATCATTCTGCAGATTCCTGTCCTTGGTTGGTAGGCTGTGCACAACAGTACAAAATGTAGAATTAGTTTCCCCTGTTAAGTGTATGCAGTTGTGGTAGGAAGAACATGGATTAAGGACAGATCTGGAAAGGCCGTCTGATGTGGGTAAAGGGAGGTAACTGCATCAGACAAAGGCCTTTTGGCCTAGCTGTGGCTTGACTTGTCACTTGCACTTGAGGTAGCCAACGCAAGGAGAATGTGCTGACCTACTAAAATTAAAAACAAAGGCCAAACATGGTTCCCTCCAACACCATCTTTACCCCATCTATATTTAGTTCATTGGGATCACTGCACTTTCTGTTGCTTTCCTTTAAAACAAAACAAAACAAAACAAAACAAAACAAAACACTCTTGGGACACCTGTCTGGTTCATTCAGTAGAGCATGTGATTCTTGATCTCAGGATCATAAGTTCAAGCTCCATGTTGGACATAGAGCTTACTTAAAAAACAGAAAAAAACAAAAACCCCTCTCCTGCTTGTGAAGATGTTGCTCTTTACTTCCAATCTGTTGCTATTATGGAACTGCTCACTTTGACATTCACAGGAAACCCCTCAGCCTGTGGATTTCCAAAGCCTGCAATCATCTAGTGCTGCTTGTGTTCTACCCTTTAAACTTTTTGCCATCCCACCTCTAAAAGTGAATGGAGGAAGGGAAAGAGGTACGTCACCTACACTTTTTTTTTTTAATGTTTATTTATTTTTGAGAGAGAAAAAGAGTACAAGCGGTTGTACGGATAGAAAGAGGGGGGACACAGGCAGGATCCAAAGCATGCTCTCTGCTGACAGCAGCCAGCCCAGTGTGGGGCTCAAACTCACAAACTGTGAGATCATGACCTGAGCTGAAGTCAGATGCTTAAGCCACCCAGACGCCACCCCCCACTATTTTTAAAATAACGTAGAGACTATTTAATATGTGTCTATTCTCTAGTCTGAAATGGGTGGGTCAGTGGTATCCATCTGATCCCAGCTATACCATATTCTAGTTGTGTGATCTATGCCAAAACATGTCATCTCAGAGCTCAGTTTTGTCATTTGCAGAAATGGGAAACATTATTTTTATCTTATTGGTGTTAAGTGTTGAATAAAGCAATATATGTGAAAACACCTAGTACAGTGCTATTAGCACACGGGAAGTACTCAATAAATATTCTATTCTTGGGGCACATGGGTGGCTCAGTTAGTTAAGCATCCAATTCTTGGTTTCTGCTCAAGTCATGATCTCGTGGTTCGTGAGTTCAAGCCCTGCATTGGGCTCCATGCTGATGGTGGGGAGCCTGCTTGGAATTCTCTCTCCCTCTCTCTTCCCCTCCATTGCTTGCTCTCTCTCTCAAATCAACTATAAAAAAATTTTTAAATATGTAAATCGTATTCTTGTCTTCCAAGAGTGTTTTCTAGGTAGAACAATAGTGATTCTTGGACTTAGCCAACAATGCATGTATTAATCACTGTATTATTCTTTCCTGTAAGGACAGCTTCTCAATCTTTGTCCTCACATTCCATTTTATTATTGAGAAAAACTTTTTAAGTTCCAGGCAGCCCGCCTAAAAGTGATTTGGGGAACATATAATAATTTACAAATCAAGATCTGTTATGCTGGAGCAAAAAATCTCCAGAGATAAACCTCTGGTTTTATGCATGACATTTCTGTTTATTAGAGCATAAGATGGTCACTGTTACTTCTAAACAAAACTGTATCCTAGTTGTATTAGGATTCTCCAGAGAAACAGAACCAACATGGTATATGTTGGTGGGTAGGTAGGTAGGTAGAAATTTATTATAAGGAAATACTCACATGATTTTGGAGTGAGCCAGTAAGTTGGAGACCCAGGAAAGCCACTGCTGCAGTTCCACTCCAAAGGCTGGCAGGCTAGAGACCCAAGAGAGCTGATTTCCTAGTTCAAGTTCAAAGTTAGTCTCCTGGAGAATTCTTTCTTGCTCAAGGGAAGATGTCTAGTCTTTTGTTCTGTTTAAGCCTTGAGTGATTGGATGTGGACCACCCAGCCTTGTCAAAGGCTATCTACTTTACTTAAAATCCACCAATTTAAATGTTACTCTCATCCAAAAATACTTTCCTGGAAACACCCAGATCCAGATACCCAATGACCTAGCCAAGTTGACACATAAAATTAACTGTCCCACTAGATTTAATGAAGAACACAAGATGAGAGATCCCTGTCAATATTGGTCATTTTTGTGCCTCTTAATAATAATATGATTACAGCTCTTTTCAAAGTACTTTCACATACATTACCTCAAGAGAACGTCATAGCATCACTTGAGCAACCTCAAGTGAGGTTATCAGAGTAGAGATAAAAGCCATTTGTCTGAAGAGGGTACCAAGACTGAGACAGATTAGGAGACTTGGCTCAATGTCTCACAGCTACTGAGTGGCAGAGCTACAATTTGCCCAAAGCCTGTAACTTTAAGCCCAGGTATTTACCTCTGGGCCATTCTCTCTTGTAGCAACTGGGGAATTCTGGAAATGGTTTTGAGAGGCTAGTGACTTTTCTTCTTGCAGCTAGTATGATACTCCTCCTTGGAACCATTTTGTGAAAGAAAGTTAACAAAATATATGTTGGTGGAACCTAAAGCTCCTTTTTTCAGATGACTCTAATGACGCTCTGAGGCAGAAAGAGAGGGTGGGGGACAGAGGGAAACAAAGTGGGGGGAGGGAGGAAGGACGTTAGTAGCAAAAAGAGTAATGTCAAAAAGTAATTAGAGCAGGACAAATGGATTGTGCTGCCATGTTCAAGGCTGTTATTTCTGTAGGCAGTGAGGAGGAAGGGCACTAATGCAATGTGACGGATCTGGAGCAAAACCCAGGGCACTGCGCAAACTGCAGAGACTCAACCAATGGCAAGGCTCAAATCACAAGGTTTGATTGAACAATATTTAATATCTCAAAGAGTTGTTTCATGTTGTTTGGAAAAACTATTGTGTCAGGGGACCTACTTTCTTGATTTCAGCTTTTGGGAAACAGCTTCATACTTCTATGTAGGTAGTCAGTGTGTCCTAGGATAACTCCCACCCCAGCATTGTGTCTTTGCACATCCCCATGATAGGCAGGTACATGATACCAACAGGGATTTTGGAAGAAGAGATGCCTAATACGAAACTAATTGGGGTATTACCTTTTGAGAAGGAGAATGAAATAAAATATTATCTATATTCAACTTGGTATTGGAAAATTGACCTATGAAATGGCAGAAAGTAATAGTTTCATCTAAAGACAGGGTGCTTTGATTTGCTAGCCTAGCCAGTCTGTGCCTAGGATCCCACTGCTGCCACCATGTACAAGGAAACTGCTATAGCCCTCAAGAAAAATAGAACTTCATTTGCCGAGAAGGAGATCTTCACAAAAGATTGACTCTCTCCTCTGTAAGTCACCATACCTTAGAAGTCTGTTATTAGTTGCTGCCACCACTGTGGCATGTTAGTTAAGAGCTTGTGCCTTAGTACTCAGACATTCTTGGGTTCATAATCTAGCTCTGCCCTTTGTGAGCTGTTATATCTTGGGACAATTACTTAACCTCTCTGAGCCTCAATTTATCTCTAAAATGAGGATAAGAAGCTTACTTCCAAACATCTTACAAGATTTTGGTGACATGATACACAAAACATTTATTAGCACTGGTGCCAGGCACAAAGATCCCAGGAGGAGCAGGAAGAAAAGGCTTCAGTGGGGAGTTTGACATCTGTTCTTCAACTCTCTGGTGTAAGCAGACATAAATGGTTTTTCCCTTAAGACCCCTCAGTATAGCCGAGATAGGGCTAGAACGATTAAACCAAGCTTTCTTCTTCTTTTTTTTTTTTTTTTTTTTTTTTTACAGTCTTGAGGTCTTTTATTTTATGTTTTTACATTTATCATGCCATGAACTCATAAGGAATGGGCTCCAGCAGCTCAGGCTCCTTTCCATTGGTTCTCACGAAGTGTGCTTCTCTGGGCGGGGCAGGCTGGCGCTTCAGCTGAACCCAAGTACCCTTCTCCTTAGCTTCCTTCTTTTTCTGATCATTTTCTTTCACACGCTTCAGGAAGCTGTCTCGGCTCTTTGAGTGCTTAATATGCTCAATACGTACATTAATTCTCTTAGCAAGAATCTTTCCCTTAACTTGCTTGTTTACGACGATGCCAGCAGTTTTGCCGTGGTAACATTTGTGGGGCATCCCTTTTTGAACAGTGCCCATTTCCTTGATGTCCACAATATCACCTTTCTTGTAGATTCGCATGTATGTTGCCAAAGGAACAACTCCATGTTTTCTAAAAGGCCTAGAGAACATGTAGCGAGTGCCCCTCCTCTTTCCCTTTGTGTTGATCATTCTGGCGAATTACTGGAAGATGGTGGTTCCGGCCGCCCAAGCTTTCTTCTTAAAATTTTTTCATGTTTAGTTATTTTGAGAGAGGGAGGCCTCTAAGAACTGTTTTCCTTTTTTTTTTTTTTTTTAAAGCCAGCCCCAGGGAGGAGCAGAGTGAGAGAGAGAGAGAATCCAGGCTGCCAGCATGGAGCCTGACATGGGGCTCAAATTTATGAACCACGAGATCATGACCTGAGTTGAAGTCAAGAGTCGGACACTTAACTGACTGAGCCAACCAGGCACCCCATGAGCTGTTTTCCAAGGTTTCTTTCTCTGTGTATAAAATCATGTAAAAATTAAACCCACTTGTCCATGGTGCCTTTCTTGTTCAGGATCTACATCTCTAAAAGAAGGCCCCAGGAGCTGGAGTTGAGCTACTTCCTGCTTTTTGGTTAGATTTTTCAGTACTTTTCTTGGTCTACCCAGAATTCCAAAACCCTGTTTGTTTATGGCCTGTGGCTTTTTCCTGTTGATCTCACCTTCTCTCTAAGCCCAGATCATAGTAAATATCTGGTATGAAGACAAAAATAAATCCCAAATAACTTAGAGTGGTCCAGAATTTGTAATTTCCTGATCTTCTATCTTTTTTTAGTTTACCAGTTATTTCTGGGACTTTTTCCCCCCATAGACTATGATTACGTAAAATTATCTCAGTTGTCAGCCCAAATGTCCACTGACTGGTGAATGGCAAAGAAGAAGTAATATATCTACCATGGAATATTACTCAGCCAATACCACCTCACACCAGTCAGAGTGGCTAAAATGAGCAAATCAGAGAACTCTAGATGCTGGCGAGGATGTGGAGAAACGGGCACCCTCCTACACTGTTGGTGGGAATGTAACTGGTGCAGCCCCTCTGGAAAACAGTGTGGGGATTCCTCAAAAAATTAACAGTAGAACTCCCCTATGACCCTGCAATAGCACTGCTAGGAATTTACCCAAACGATACAAGAGTGCTGATGCATAGGGGCACAGGTACCCCAGTGTTCATAGCAGCACTCTCAACAATTGCCAAAACATGGAAAGAGCCTAAGTGTCCATCAACGGATGAATGGATCAAGAAGATGTGGTTTATCTATACGATGGAATACTACATGCCAATGAGAAAGAATGAAATCTTGCCATGTGTAGCAACATGGATCGAACTTGAGGGTGTTATGCTGAGCGAAATGTCAGGCAGAGAATAACAGACATCATATGTTTGCACATATAGGAGGATTAGGAGGAACTTAACGAAGGACCATGGGGGAGAAGAAGGGGAAAATTAGTAGTGGGGAGGGAGGGAGACAAACCATGAGAGACTCTTGAATGCTGAGAACAAACTGAGGGCAGATGGGGTGGTGGGAGAGGAAGGGGAATGATGAGCATGGAGGAGGGCACTTGTGGGGATGAGCACTGGGTGTTATATGGAAATCAACTTGACAACAAACTATTTAAGAGGAATATTACTCAGCCATCAAAAAGAATGAAATCTTGCCATTTGTAATAACATGGCTGGAGCTAGAGTATATTCTGCTCTACAGTCAGAGAAAGACAGATACCATATGATTTTACTGATACATGGAATTTAAGAAACAAAACTGATGAACATGGTGGGGAGGGGTAGAGAGAGGGAAACAAACCATAAGAAACTCTTAATGATAGAGAACAAGTTGAGGCTTGATGGAAGGAGGTGGGTGAGAGATAAGCTAGATGGGGGATGGGTACTTATTATGGAGGGCACTTATTAAGATGAGCACTGGGTGTTGTATGTAAGTGATGAATCACTGAATAATACTTTTAAAACCAATATTGTACTGTATGTTAACTAACTAGAATTTAAATAAAATTTTGAAAAGAAATATCTCAGTTGCCAAGATATAGTGCTGAGTGTTATTCAAGAGCCCTGATCTTTTTAGCAGTGATCAACAGAAAATGCCAAGGCAGCTGCCATTTTGCCTGTTCAAACTTATTTTTCCATCTTTAAATTGGGAGTCAGGGAGATCCACTCACATTCTCAATCCAGGTCAGAAACAGTTCACACAGAACCAGTTCTTTCTTACTGCAGTTCTCTGCATGTAGTCAGCAAAATAAGGAAAATATAAAATGTGGGAAAGTATTGGTTGATCATACTGGGCTTTTGTTGCTTTCCTAGTTGCTTTCCTGGTGCCGGAAAGGCCTATAGAGACTGCTGATGCAGGTGGCCTTTTTATAGCAAAAATGGTTGCCAAAAATAAGCCATCTGGCAAAAAAAGAATATGCCATATGACTTATGGTTTGAATTTTATCTCTTGTCCTTTCTAGTCTTTCTGTACAAGATGAAATTCAGGATGTATTTATAATAATGTTCAAATTAAGCTTTTTGAAATTTACAATTATTTTTGATAGATATTAGAAGCATATATTAAATCCCCACTACGTGCTGACCATTTTTTGAGATACTGAAGTGGAAATTTCTTGTTGCTTCTGGTAACAGTCTCACGTTTAGCCAGAGTGTGTAAGGGGGAAAAGCAACTTTAATAAAAAGTTTCTTAAATGCAAATTTATTCAGAAAGTTAAAGAATTAAAAAAAAAAAAAAACTCCTGTCCTTCAGTATTAAGCCAAAGTATGATCAGTGTATGGTGGTTATCCCTGGAATCTTAGAGTTTTTCATATTTATTGATTTGGTTATATTTTAGACCTGGGCTCCAGATGCTTTACTTGCTAGCAGTGGTGATGCGCTAATTATGCAACTTCTCTGAGCATCATTTTTCTTTTTTCTTTGAAAGGCATGGTCCTTATATTGTATACTTCATGTGATGTTTGTGAGGGTCAAATAGGATAATGCAAGTGAACGTCCATTTCTAAGGAGCAAGGCATTTTATGAGAATAAATTAATGCATGGTTCAAGGGATCTTTTTTCCCCAACTTTTTTTTAACAACTTCATTGAGGCATATTTTATTTATATACTTCACTCTGATTGTACAATTCAGTAATGTTGAATAGAGTTACCCAAGTTGTGTAACCATTCCCATAAGTCAGTTTTAGAGCATTTCTATCATCCCAGTAAGACCCCTTGTTCTCTTGTTGTTAATCCTATTCCCAGCTCCTTTTCCAGGTAATCCTGATCTGTCTCTATAGATCTGCCTTTTCTGAACATGTCCTATAAGTGAAATCATTTAATATGTGTTCTTTGTGTCATGTTTCTTTGGCTTAGCATGATGGCTTTGAGGTTTGTCCATGTCATAGCAAATATGAGTAGTTCTTTCTGTTGCTGAATAGTATTCCATTGTATCTATACACACACACACACACCCCTTATTACATTTTGTTTATTCATCAGGAGCTGGACATTTAGATTGTTTCCAATGTTTTATTATAATAATGCTATGATCGTTTACATACAAGTCTTTGTGTAGACATATGTTTTTATTTTGAGTATAAGGATACCTTTTTAATTATAAAAGTAATACCTGCTTGTTCTGAAAAATTCTTTATATACAGAAGTATAAATTTGCTGCATTAGTCACCTCCCTAATTATGCTTCCAGATGTGGTGGTGGTAGTAATGAATAGTAGTAATGACTATCATCATCTTCTGAGTGTTCTGAGCATTTGCTGCATGCCAGGCACTGTTCTGATGTGTTTGTGTGTGCATGTTCAATTCAATTTGATTATTTCATATACAGATAAACTTGATACTCTTTCCCCCCATTTTATAGATATGGAAACTGAAGATTAAGGATTCATTGTAAAGTCTTATTTCTAGTAGGTGGCAAAGCTTGTACAGTTTGTTGTAATGTCTTCCAAACTTTCCAAAATATGCAGTTTTTGAAAGCAAAAGTTATATACTTATTTTATTCTGTAGCTTTCTTTAATTTTATTTAATTTGTCGCAGAAATTATTTCATGGCAGATTTATAAAATCTCATTATTTTTTGTGGTTACATGAATGGATATGCCAGGATTTGGTTAATTCATCTGTTGTCAGTGGATATTAGGTTGCTTTTATTTCTTCTCTATTATGAACAGGGCTGCAGTGAATATCCTTGTATAATACTTAGCTTACTTGTGACATTACTTTTGCAAATCCTGGAAGTGAAATTACCAAATACATTTAGATTTTGATGTTGTTAAATTCCCCTCCCCTCCGAAAAGATGGTAAATAACATCCTCCTACCCCCTCAATTCCCTTAACCCTGCAATCAGGAGAGAAGAGAGCCTTCTCCTGAGGGTTTTCCCGCCCTCATCAGTGCTACATCATTATCTCTGTAATGTAGGTTACAATTATAAAAATGTTTCAGAGAGAAGTTAACGTATCAAGGAGGGGCAGTGGTGAATAGCTGGTAGAGCAACAGTAGTTTCTAGCTTTTGATAGGTAAGGATTGGCATTTATCTAGGCTCTCAAGAGCTGCAGTATTGTTCAGGTTACTTTAGAATGACTCACCTGGTTGATCATCGGAAATGAACAGTGACACATTTCAGCCACAGCAGTTTCCATTTTCTTTGTCGTGTACCCTACATACTATGGCCTGCTGGCTTCTTTCACCTCATGGCTGCCTGCAGTCTTCTTGCCTGGCCTCCCACTTAGTTTAAAGTGAAGCTGAGAAGATGATAGACAAGAACTTGGACATCTGTGTTAGGTAAATGTTCATCCTTTCCATTCTTTCTTTTAATAAAACTGCCAGAATGAGGTCAGCAGCTTAGTACTACTCTTTTTCAGTCTCCCCAGGAGTAAGTCTCCAATCATGTCTGTTGCTGGGAGGATCCCAGTTGGCATGGTCCCTGTGGCCAGTATAGCACTATCTATACACCTCTCTAAGGGGGAGGTAAGTTTGCCACTTTGGTGCCAGTAAAGAAATCAAAGACACAAGTGTTGGATCTTGTTAGTTGTGAATGATCCTGTTATTCTGCAGGAGCCAGCACCTACCACACCTTACAGATCTTGGGAATCCTAGTTAGCACTACCATGTAGATTTTGCTTTTGTCTTTTGACCATCCCTTCCCTCTCCAGTTGTCCTGC